GGGGGGGGGGGGGGGGGGGGCGGTGCCACTGTCACCCCAAACTGTCCCTGTGGCTGGGGACAAGCAGGAGGAGCCAGGCCCGGGTGTCCTCTGGTTCAGGGAACAGGGTGGCACTGCCAGGGTCGGGGAAACTGAGGCAAGGGCTGTGGGCACATTTGGGGCCAGGGACTGGGGACAAGGACTGGGTTTTGGGACCAAGAAACTGCGGACTTAGGGGACCAGGGACTGGGGGACAAGGGGACAGGGAATGGGCAACTGAGGACCAAGAACTGGACACTGGTGGTCAGTGACAAGAGACTGGGAATTCAGGACCAAGAATTTGGGACCAGGGACCCCCAGAGCAGGGGCTGGACCCCTCCCACGCCGGGAGGGGATATGGGAGGGGTCAAGATCCCTGACCCAGCAGGAGCCGCGAAGGGACTGTCACCCACACCAGCGGCCACTCGTGCAGCGAGCTCACACCGTCCTCAGCCCACAGCTCCCGGGGCTCCTTCCCTGCTCCTTAATTTCCCGGCGCAAGCGGAGCTGATTTATGGGAGTTTGACACTATTTTAAGCGTGCGCCTCCGTTTGCCGCTCGCCCTGGTTTTAATTACCTCGGCTCTCGCGGCAGGGCAGCGTTCCCGGGGCACAGGCCTGGCCCTTGTTATCCTTGGAAAACCGGGAGCGCGCTTGCGGCCACGGCCGGGGCCGGCGTAAAAATAGGCGCAAAAACCACGGAAAAAAAATGAAAGGGGGGTGAGGGGGGGACACCCTAAAAAAAAAAACCCCAAACAAACAAAAAAGCCAAAGTGGAGATGTCCCAAAGTGGGTGAAGAGTTGAATTTTTAAGAAAATTAAAATAAAGGGAATGCCGGGGGTGATGGGGGCGAGGGACTGCTCGCGACACCCCAGCCCAGCCCGTGCAGCTGAAAGCCATGACGGGTATAAAAGCAGAGGAAGTCACCCGGGGAGGGGGGAGGCCACAGCATAATTCGATTAAAAGACCATAAAGGCAGAAGGAGCCGAGATTGGGGGTGGGGGGAGGCCCTGCCACCAGCACAACCCCACAGCAGCCCCCGAGAAGCCCCTTTGGGGGGATGCTGGGCTGGGGGGTGATGGGATGGCCGCAGCGGGAGGAAACTGAGGCAGAGGGGATGGGGAGCGCTGGGGGTGGTGGGTGGCACCGGGGGACTGGCGGGTGCTGCTGGGTGCGCCTGCACTGGGTGTCCAGCGGGGCTGACCCCCAGGCCAGGTCAGCCCCTGGCACCCCTCGGGACCCTCAAGCCCCGTCGCCCTTTTCCACAGGCTGCCGA